CGTAGAAAACGGACATTACGAATTTTTAAAAATGCCGTTCGGATTAAAAAATGCACCGGCAACATTTCAAAGAGTGATGGACAATGTTTTACGTAGACTTCAAGACGAGACATGCCTTGTATATTTAGATGACATAATAATTTACTCTACATCCCTTCAGGAACACATTTGTAAACTTAAAAAAGTTTTTGAAAGACTTCCTTTGACCAATTTTAAAATTCATCTTGACAAATCTGAATTCCTTAAACGCAGCATATTTAGGACAAATTATAAGTCGTGACGGCCTAAAGCCAAACCCTGACAAAATTAAAGCCATAACTAAATTTCCTATCCCTAAAACGACTAAGGACATACAATTTTTTTAGGACTTCTCGGTTATTACCGTAAATTCATAAAAGACTTTGCACGACTAACAAAACCCCTAACCAACTGCTTGAAAAAAATATCAAAATCATACATAACCAAGAATTTATTAATTGCTTTGAAACATGTAAAACACTTTTAACCAACGATCCAATATTAATAAAACATTTAATCTTACTTTAATAAAACATTTAATCTTACCACTGACGCAAGTAATGTCACCATAGGTGCAGTACTTTCACAGGGTACAGTCCAAAATGACCTCCCGTAGCATACGCTTCAAGGACTCTAAATGAATCAGAAAAAACTATAGCACGATAGAAAAAGAACTTTTAGCCGTAGTTTGGGCAACAAAATACTTTAGACCATACTTATACGGACGAAAATTTACAATTTACACTGACCATCGACCATTAGAATGGTTGTTTTCATTAAAAGAACCAAATTCAAAATCAGTAAGGTGGAGGTTAAAACTTGAAGAGAACGACTACAATATTGTTTATAAAAAGGTAAATTAAACTTAAACGCTGACTGTTTATCCCGTGTAGAAATTCATACTAAACAAACCCCAGTCGAAATTCCAATTACCGAATAACCTATTAATTACAGTAACAATCAAATAATAATTTCCCGATCACCGTTTCCTCTTAACACTACTCCTACTATAATTAAAATTCATGGTAATAAACAAAGAATTACTTTTTTTTTTGAATCCCAATTTGACAAAGAAGTTTGTTAAAGAATATATCCCCCAAATATTACTTACTCACTATATTTTGAACACAACTCCTACTCCGAACCTTTTTGCGAAATAATACGAACTACTTTTACTTGTCCCTCTTACAAATTTAAAAAATGCACAAATATTGTATTTGACGTGACAGACTCTCAAGAACAAGACCATATTATTCAAAATTATCACGAAGGAAAAAATAATCATAGAGGAATAGACGAAACTGAAAGAAAAATCTTAAAACTACATATTATTGGCCAAATATGCGTAAATCAATTCAAAATTTTATAAACTTATGCGAACTTTGCAAATTAACTAAATACGAACTTAATCCGCTAAAAATAGAATTTAACGTAACACCCACTCCTTAGAAAATATGAAATAATTCATATCGACACATTTATTGTAGGTAATGGTAAGTTTCTTACGGTCATTGACTCATTCTCAAAATTAGCCCAAGCCTACCCAATAAATTCCGCAAACGCATCAGAAATTGTCGAAAGACTCTTAGAATATTTTAATCATTACGGACTTCCCAAACTAATTATATCGGACAATGGTCGAGAATTTAAAAACACTTTGGTTACTGAATTACTTAAATTACACAAAATTAAAATACATTTTGGATCAGCCGAACACTCAGAATCTAATAGCCCAGTCGAACGTTTACATTCGACCCTTATTGAACATCTGCGTTTAATAAACTGTCAATTTCAAAATTTAACAATAAATAATAAAATGCTCTATGCTATCCTAGCATATAATAGTAGCACTCATTCTGTCACTAAAATGAAACCAATAGAAATTGTTACCAGTCATTTTAATAATAAAACTCTTTTTGAACTTGACATTGAAACTAAATTGCTAAACATGTATACACAGGAACATCGGGACCGTATTACAAAAATTTATAGTATACTACATGGAAATTATTAGAAAATAAATCAAAAGAAATCTCTAAAGCAAACGAAAATCGCGAACTTTTCCTACCTGAAGTTAATGATAAAGTCCTAATTAAAAGTAAACAAAGAATTAGTAAATTAAAAAATAAATAATACACCCCTCAAACTATTACAAACGTAAACCCTGATACAAAAACTTTTGAGACCATAATCCTAATCAATTGTTACAGAATAACCCTGACACTGACCCTCAACCTTCGACAAGTAAGGACACAGAACGTCTTGACTAAAACTTTAGATAATAATCCAGGCTTACTTCCAATTTTAATCGGAGACTCACTTATAATCGATTTCTACCAGAAAATTATATTTTTTAAAGACTTACAACCCCTTGAAGATGAAATAAAATGGTTAAATAAACAATGTGCAACCTTTAAATTAAATCTGGATTATTTTAAAAACTCTAGCTTTGATTCAGAATTACACAATTACGAAAAAATACTTGAACACTCTTTAATAGAATTAAATTTAAGATTTTATACCTTACTTCCACAAAATAAAATTAAACAAGGACTTATTGATGGTGCTGGCTCGATTTTAAAAGTTATTATCGGAAATCTTGATGACGAAGACGGTCGTAGGTATGACGAAGCTATAAGAATCCTGCAAACTAATAAAAATAATGTTAAAACACAATTTGATCACACGGTAGGCAGGAAGCATCGATAGGTTGCACAAAAATGTCGACAAAAACTGCAAGCTGGGTTGTATTTTTTGATCATTATAGGTGCAAAATCCGTTGGAATTGAAATCCTAACTGCTCCTTTTCAAAAGTTAGTAATATTTTTATATTTCAGATCGGGGCAATTTGAAATAGATGGCACTATGTCCACAAAAAAAAATTATTTTAATTGTTCAACGCATTCCAAAATAATGGGGTGTTCCCGTCTTATTTAGCACACCCTGTATATATATTAGTATAGGTATAGGTACTATTTATATTACATAAATGAATACATAGTATCCAATACTAAAAGTTTGGGCATAATTATTAAACAATAGTTAATAATAATTATTGGAAGCAACTCCCCCATGTTAGTAGACTGTGCATTTATAACTGTCATTTTAATAATAATAAAATAAACTTTATTGGATAACTCCAAAAGGCTAACGACCTTAGTCTTTCTGCCTACTGTCATTTTATTAAATGTCATTTGCGATAGCGTGGCTACGCGTTGTACAACAATTGTAGAGTTCTTGTTAATTTTGTTATAACAATATAGTGATAAATAAATAAAATATGTAATTGTATATTTATTGGTAAGTTGTTAACAACGTCTTTGTAATTATTATTAGGTATTATCAGTATTACCACTCGATTAGCATTAACCTTAGAACTAAGGCATTAACTGCTCGTGCATGCTCCAAAACACTTTATTTACTTTTTCTTTTGAATTTTTATTTTTAAATAAAAAAAAATATGCTACTAAAAATGTTGTACTATAAATAAATTCACATTTTATTACTTAAAACCAAAAAAAAAAGAAAATACCAAATAATAATAATAATCTATATGTATATAATAATTACAATAACTGGAAGGGCAGTCAAGTGTTTCCCGCAAAAAAAAGTAAAGTTTAAATAATTGAAGGGTGTTCGGTACGAACAGGCCTGTAGGCTAAGTGTCATTTTTCATTATTTTGTTATTTTTGCGTAAAAATATTCAACAAAGTACCATCAGCTATACCCTCAAAAAGTGGTAAGTGCCAAGATTGCCGGACACAGTTGGAATCCAATACAAATCACATCCGGATGTGATTTGTATTGGATTCCAACTGTGTCCGGCAATCTTGGCACTTACCACTTTTTGAGGGTATAGCCATATATATATATCCAGTAATAATTTAGTTTTTCTTTAATATCTCTGTTTCTGAATTTTGGCACCTACCCTGTTTGTACCGAACACCCTTCAATTAATATTATAATATAAGAGTTTTCCAGCCAATTTATTTATATTTTCTAGTTTTAGAAATCTCATTGATATATATCATATCAGAAGAGTAAATAATATAATGAATAGTCGGGTAAATAGTCAGCATCCGCTTTATAAATGCGATCATGAAGAAAATCGCTTAAAAGTATGTGCTGTGGGAAAAAAATATTTTCCAAAATAAACCTTCCCATCATTTCTTGCTATCTGAAAAACACATTGAAGTTATAAAAAAGCATATCAATGATGAATTTAATATTTATAATAGTAAATTCCCAAAAAGTTTATGTAGCTCTTGCCGACTAACTATAAATGAATATGGAAATGATATTTTTAAAAGACCTCGTCCAACAATGCCCAATTACAAGGATCTTAAATTATCAAAAGAAACAAGAACGATGGGTTGTAATTGTTACATCTGTCTAACAGCACGAGTTACGAGTCATAAAAAAAATAAAAAAGGTAGAGGTCAAATTAGGGATTTCTCTACAAATATTGACGTAAACAATTGTTTTGACGATACTTCGCAACAGAAAGATTTACTTTCTACAAATGAAGCAAAGGCAACCAAACCGAGAACTTCTACTGAATTATGTAACAGTTGTTTTTAACAAATAGGTAAAGGCATATCACATTCTTGTAGAGGTCCTTCTACTTCTAATGCTCGTGAAAATATTTTGAATATAGTACAACAGTTACCCGAAAAACAGCAGAACCAAATAATAACTAATGTTTTGAAAAGAAAAATATCCAACAATGCATTGTTGGATATTAATGATAACAAGGCTAAAGATGAGCTCGTGTTAAATACTCTTTGATCGAAGGTTCGGGTAACTGTAAATAAAAAAAAGAAAAAGAAGTAAGATTTTCTGCCGAAAAATTAGATAACTTCCAAGCTAATACTGGATCGTCTACAAATTACATGAAAAAATTGGCTAACTTCATTCGTAGTTCTGCGTGTAGAAAATCAGTCCCCATGAATTATAATCAACATTTGTATGAAAAATCTAATATGCTAGAACACCTTTATAAAGATGGTTTCTACAAATTCGAAACATCCAACGATGGAATTAAAAAGAGGCCAGTTGTGTATGCTACTGCATCAGAACTCGTAGACTTTATCTTTGAAAAACGAAACATTGAACACATAGAACAATCAAAAATAAAAGTAATGGCAGATGGAGGACAAGATTTCTTCAAAATTTCTCTTTCAATATCAATTCCAGAAGACAACTTGAAAGAAAATGACTTGGATAAAAGTAAAAACGTTTCAACTTACTCTACTGGTGAAAGTATGGCAAATAAACGCAAATTGACTAGTGTGTTTAAATTGCTTTTATTAGGCATAGTGCCTTGGATTAAAGAGACCTATGATAATTTTAAAATTTTGGTTGAATTGACTAAACTCAATGAGATACCCTTTAAATTTCTTGGAGATTTAAAGCTCGTTCTATTGGTCAATGGACAGCAAACTGCAACAGCTTCCTACACTTGCCCTTATTGCTTCGTCACATTAAATTAATTAAAAAGTTATGATAAAATGATTGAGGAAAATGATATAAGCAGTGATGACAAAAATCTTGATTTAAAGACTTACAAATATTTAAAAGATGACTACTTTAAATTCAAGCTTGGGTAACGACAAAAAAAATCTAAAGAATCACCCTTTATTTATTGAAGACGGTACTACTGAAGATGATAACATGCACGTACTTCAGAAGTGTATTCCTCCTGAACTACACCTATTACAAGGGTTTGTCAACCATCTTTTCTGGGACGGTATAGTTAAAATTGAGGAAATTGGAAAAGATAGAGCTTTATTGTGGCCGAATAAATTAGGTATATCTCATAAGAGCTATCAATGTCGGAAATTACTTAAAGCGGCTGATAAATTGCAGGATCCTGAAATTTAAGAGCTTGCAGGACCACTTCGTTTACAGCCTTATATTGCTGCATTTAAAGCTATGAATAAAATTGTTAAAAAGTGCTTTGCTGCAAAAAAAGCTGATCTTACTGATTTTAACAAAAATTTAAAAGAACTCCTTGAAGCCTTAAAAAGTACTGAAATTTCTCAAACACTCAAAATTCATATTACCCTCGAGCATTTGGAGGAAGCAATCATATTCTTGAATAATGATGGCTTAGGTTTATGGTCCGAGCAGGCTGGAAAGTCAGTTCATAGCGTGTTCAATAAATTTTGGGATAGATTTAAAATAAATTTGCTAGATAAACCATCTTTTATAAGTCGCTTAAAGAAAGCTGTTGTTTTCATCACAGCATTTTTAAATTTACAAATTTAAATTAAAAAAATTTAAAACATAAAAAAACAAAAAAAACACAAACAAAAGAGGTACAAAGTAAATCGGCTAAAATTTTTAGCCTAAAAACTTACGTAAAATTCTGTATTATTCTCTTGCATAATAAAAATTCAAACGAGATAATACTTTTGATATTTATTCCAAATTGCCCCGATCTGAAATATAAAAATATGAATAACTTTTGAAAAGGAGTAGTTAGGATTTCAATTCCAATGGATTTTCCACCTTTAATCATCAACAAATACAACCCAGCTTGCAGTTTTTGTCGACATTTTTGTGCAACCTATCAATGCTTCCTGCCTACCGTGATCAACAAATTTCGTTATCTAAAAGGTTTGTAGAAAAATTGAATAATACCTTATTTTCAGTTAAAACTAATCAAAAATGGAAAATAAAAACAGCTTAGTTTTTTATGAAGCTACTATTCAAAATTATAATTATATTAAATTTATTTTCAACTATTTACAAAATATTATAATTAATATTAAATTTATTATATTTGAAATTGAAGACGCCATAACATTATCTAAATTAGAAACACTTCACCCCTAATAATACAACTTCAAGATTTATTAAAAGAATGGAGACTTCTAAATAAAAATATAAAATTACCTTTTGAACCCGAGAGTAATAACATTTTAGAATTTGAAAAAATAATTAAAATTAAATCATCAATCAAAATTGATATTTATTTTGGAAATACCTTCCGTTAAGGAAGGATATTTATCATCTGTATTAAATTCCCAAACAAATAAATGGCACTTATATGACTATTATACCAAATAAAAAGTTTGTATTAAAATCTACCGATTCATATATCTTCGACAGTAAATTAAATTTGTAAAATTGTTAAAAATATGCATCTCTGCGAATATACACCAGAAGACCTGCTCTACAGTGAAACTTGTGAAACAAAAATCCTTGAACTCGCCTTATCAGACAAATGTATTCACTCCAGTAAAATTTCACAAAACTATAACCCAAAGAATAATTAGCAATTATTGCTGACACTAATTTTAGGATAATCATACCAAATAAAAAAGGCAATCCTGGTTCCAGCAACATTAATTTACCCATCGAAAAGTTTGATTAAAATAGATGACAGAATAATTCTCTCTACTGTTTATAAAAAAACAATTAAAGCAACCCGTTATGCTGAATTTTAAAGAAATTATAAAACCCAACGCTACTAAGTATTTAATAAATACTTCTAAATTAGAAAACATACGATTAGATGAATTAAACAATATTAAAGAAGATTTGGACAAATCAAATTTAAAGCTATTGGAAGTAAAACTTTCTGACCACCCAGTTTGGACCTTTCTACTATACCCATTAGTAATTATCTCTATATTAGTGGTAATTTGGAAAAATAGACCAACACTGAGGACATTATTTCGGAAGAGGACATTAACACCAAATCATCAAGAAGTCAGTTTAGTACCCTTCGACTTCCTATTTAGCAGGGACGACGAACACCTGTACAAGAAATGTGCTGTGCTGTGCACCGATAAGAACCCTTTAGATTATGCTAGTTTCTATTCATTCTTCTCTTGCTTGTTATTTGTAACGTTTATTGTAAAACTTAAGCAAAATTAAATTGTGAATAATAATTATTGTTTAAAAAACATTTTTTTCGTAAAACGTAACTTGAATATTTTTTTTTATAATTTTTTTTAGGGCATAAACTAAAAATTTAGGGGGCGCGGCGAACAAAAAAAAAAACAAGTTGATAAATAATGGACACCCTATTGTACACTTTAAAAACAACTATGATTTATATTGTTTTTTCCAATTTTATTTTAATTTCTTACACTACTGTACTGGTGGATTTTGGGTAAACCGATATCTCAGTTATTAGATATGGGACCATTTTAAATTTCTTTTCAAAGAAATAATAAAAATTTAAAATGATATAAAATCTGTATGATTTGGATTATTTTAAAAAAATTTGAAATTTTTCGATAAACTATGGTAAATAATAAAGTTCACCAATTAAATTTATATTATATTTATTGGGGGCGCCATGGGGCCGGTGCGGCCGAGCAAAAAGTTATCTTTTTTTCGCAAACTTCAATTTAAATTCTGCCTGCGCAGAACTTGTTTATTTAATGTCATTATAAATTCATATAAATTTGGTGTGGGTCCCATATCTAATAACTGAGATATCGGTATACCCAAAATCCACCAGCTGCCACTGCTTACAAAGTACTTGATTTATCTTTTGATAGATCAGCTGTTAAGTGTAAAGTTGGAACAGTATCCACTTTTAAAAACTTTTTTATGGAAATGAAGTTTGTACGTTTTTTCGATCCAATTGTCCTTCTTATTGTAGCAACTATCTTCAAAGTAAATTGAACAAATACGAGCTACAAAACGAACAAACATTAACCTAAAACATTAACCTAAATTAATTTTTATTTATATATCTACAGATAAACTTTGTATACAAAAAGAAACTACCTTTAAAAAACTACTGCTATTTAATCGTTTTTAAAATAAATCTACGTACTATCGTTAAGATCAATTTTATCAAGCCCAAACCTAAGGAAATGTATTGGATTTACAGGTTACTTTCTTTTGGCATTGTTTTTTACAGATTTTCACTTGGCAGACACTAGAAAAAACTATAAAATAACTTAAAAAACAACTCACAACAAAATGTAAATACTATTTACATTAGATTACATTACATTACTATTTACTAAATAGTCAATAGGGCAGCGGCTGGGTGTTTCCACCTCTTCGCCAATCTGTTGAAGTGGTGGAAACAGATGTACAAGAACACATTTTCCCACCGGCTGCCGGGTTATGTAGATTTAAATATTAATTTTAAAGCAAGGTAATAGTTATTTACGTGTCAAGCTTTGTAAATGAATCTTTACGGGCGAGCTGGAAGTTTGTGGGTAAGCGACGCAGGAGCGAACCCATAATCCAGTGAGACTAGTAAAGATTAATTGCAAAGCGTGACACGTACAAACTTTTATTTTCACCTTTAGATAACGATTTTTAAATTTAAATATTTCCTTTAATGTGTCAAATGTGTCATTTCATTTCAAAAATTGCATTTTCTACAAGCCTGTAAACCTTTACAGGTCTTTTATACAAGCCCGTAAAATATTACAGGTCTGTTCTCATAATGTATCGTTTACTTGGATACAAAAACAACAAAATTAACCTATAAAGTCATTTACTAAGAAGGTGGAAATAAAGTATTTATATTTTCAGGCGACTGAAATATGGGCCAGTTTAAAAGAAATTGTATACATTATTTATTTTGTATATTATATTTTAATATAAAAAAAATTTATTTTATTTTTAGTTTGACTTTTTGGAACCAAGAAATATTACTGGTTTGGTAACTAGAGGAGGAGATAATGGTTGGGTAAAATCTTACAAGGTTTACTATTCAGAAAATAAAATTGAATGGAATCCCATCCTAGACAAAAATTTAAAGGAAGTAACTTTTCTTGGCAATTTAGATAACCAATCACCTCACAAAAATTATTTTGAAAGACCCATACAATCAAGATACGTTAAAATTACACCCTCAGCCTGGAATGAAAATATTCAGTTAAGAGTAGAAATGCATGGCTGTTTTAAAGAATATCGTACGTGTAAAAAAATATAATTACTTTAAATTAGTAAACCCAAAAATGTATTAGATGTTTATTTTAAAAATGTGTATGATTATTTTAGCTTTAATTGATATACCATTGACTACGGTATCTCCCTTTACTTGTAACACTTGTCCTGAAATTATGGAATTAGAACTAGATGCTTGTAAGTGTAGTAATATGTTATGGTGGAATGGTAAAAATTGTGTTAATCGAACCCAATGCCCTTGTACAGTAGGACACATGCAGTCAGTATTCTTTGAAATATTTATTAAGGAACTAAAAACTTGTTACTTGTAAAAATAATTATTTTTTACTAATTATTGTATTTTTACAGCTATTCTATAGGTGCCCTATTTTTGGAAGAGGATTGTATGGAATGTGTTTGTAAAATAGGTGGAATAAAACACTGTACTTTAAAAAAATGCGATTCGTGTAGTGAGGTAATTTTATAAATTTTAGTTCTTATACATTATTAAATATACAGGGTGAGTCATTTAACTTGAAACTTTGAAATATCTCAGTAAGTATGCATTTTAAAAAAAATTGTTTAAAATGAAAATTAAATGATTCGAAGGGGGAAATCAATCAGTACTAAAATTGGTCCTCATACTTTCCCCATTATAGTTGGAAAAGGGGGAAATTTTAAAATTTCCAATGAAACATCCTATTTTTTATTGCAGATTCGGTTCATTAGACTAAAAATAGGTAGATTTTGTCTAAAACATTTTTTCATATTTGTAATAGATGGCGCTGTAATGAAAAAAACCCTTACAGGGTTAAAAACACAGTATGCGGTAATACCTATATTTTGGATAATCCTCACACCGGAGAGGAACGTGGGATGTTTCACGATTCTCATATTAAGAAGTATCTTTCCAGTTGAGTATCAAGCCTGATAATCCGATATTGATTTCGAAAATATGGACTTCGTTCAAAACGGGTTATCAGTTTGGGGGGGTAGTTGTAAAGGAATACTAAATTCATTTCATTTATACTTTATTTAATCACTTCTTAAGTACACGAATGTATACTGGGTTGCATATACAGTAGGAGCTAAAAGGGTTCGAGAGACACCCTGTACCTATAGTTTTTGTGATAATTGCTTCCATCTTGTATTGCTTTGTGTAGAGAGAGCGCAATACTACGTTAATTCATTTAATCTGTGTCATCCTCTGGATTTCTATAAGTTTTATATTTCTAAATATTTAAACTATAATCTGGTGTAAGGGTAGCATTTTTAACAACAAAAGGATGTGTGTACTAATTGCTCGACATTCCAGATTTCATTGAACCATTCGCGTTTTGCTGGCTGATAACTGGGTTTTATAAAAGTGTAATCTTCTTATCCGATTAAACCATCAAGGTAACAATCAATTGTGTATTTTTGCCTAACCGAAGCCAACCCTGAGATCCGTGGCACATCGGCTCCCGTGCTACGCTACAATACTTATAGGTAGACTTTTTAAATATTCTTTTGTTAGAATCAATAAAATAGTCATTAAACTAGTTCGATACCATTGTTTAGGAAATATTGTTTCCTTTACTATCAATAAATTAATTTTTGATCTAAATTATTTTTATTTGCGTCACTGTTTTTTCTTTTTATGTTCCAAGCTGTTTTTGACATATTATTACTGTTTTTAATTATGTTTTTAATGTAGTTCTTTTTATCTAGATTAATATTTAAAAAATGTTGTTAAGATTTCGGTATTGTGTTTTAATTAAATTATTATCTGAAGATTTTGACAGTTTGTGTTTTTTTGAATTAATCCAAGGTTTATTGGCCCTGTTCAAGTTTTTATTATTACAAACTTTTTCCACGGGAAAATAAGTATTAAACATATCAAGAAACTTATTAAAAAATATATTAAATGAAACTTCTATATCCCTAGAAGTATCATAATGTTGCCATGGCTCTGTTGAGCAAATATATTTAAAGTAAGCTATTCGAAATGGATTTTGACAATTTCTACTGAAAGTGTAGTCTAACTGAGTTTTATAATTTATCATTAAGGGAAATATAATTAAAGTAAGCTATTCGAAATGTATTTTGACAATTTCTACTGAAAGTGTAGTCTAACTGAGTTTTATAATTGATCATTAAGGAAAATGAAAGTTTTTGCATATAGTGGTCTAACAAATTAGTCTCAAACACATCAGGAGAAAGGTCACCATTGCAAATATTGGAAAATATATAATCAATAATTTTTTCGACTTTTTTGCTACTCTGGTAAACTTTTCAATGCATTTAACAAAACCAAAACTGGAAAGCAAATTTAATGGTGCCATAGCATCTCTGTCCTTTATTCGAGCATCAAAATTTATATTAAAATCACCACACAGAAATGTTGAATTACCTTTATGGTTCTTACAACCAATTAATATTAATAATATAAATTAACTTAACTTAACTTAAAACTGGAACTCGGAGATCTATAGCAACAGAATATATTAATGTTTACATTATCTAAATGCATGCGAACAAAACCATATTCAAATTCTTTACATAGGTACTTTTTTAACACTAAGGATAAGCTTTTTTAAATAAAAACCTTTACGAACAAAAATTAGTACACCACCACCTTTATGGCTGTCTCTACAATAGTAGTCTGCAATACAAAAATTGTCAAGATTTAAAACTTGCACTTCACTTTCGGAGAGCCATTTCTCAGTGAGACATATCACATCAGGTTGAAAATCTAAACTATCAATGAACACAGACAACTCACATATATATATATATATATATATATATATATATATATATATATATATCAAAATTTAGGGAAAAGAATAGGATTTTTTTAGTACTTATTTAAAAAAATCAAAATGGCTCCGTTTTGAGAAAAAAGTAAAAATAATTTTTATATCAATTTTTCTTAGCCAAAAAAATTTGTTTCGCTTTTAAAACCAACTCTATCTTAAAGCACGAAAAAAAAGATAAAGGATATATTATTTGTCGATTTAAAAAAAAAGTCATTTATATTTTTTATCAACCAAAAAACTCACAAAAGAAAAAGAAAAATTTTAAGCCCCTGTATATCTGCAACCCGTCAGTCTTTTCCGCTGCCCTTTTGCTTAACTAAAGTAGTCCGACAGGACAATGATTTAGCAAAGTTTCATCAAAATGGGAAACAACTTAAGTTTTTAGTGTGAACACTTGGCGTGTTTTGCCCCATATATGTATTGAAATTTTAAAACCGTTTATAATCCATTTAAGTATATTTTTCTAAAATATTTTAAACAAAATGCTACTTCCGGTTTATCCGGAAGTGACATCAAGTTTGTTATTTTAAATAAAACACCCCATATATTTATACATTTTTAAATTTTACATAAAATTCTGATTAAAATTACTATACCATGTCCTATACCTAAAGTGAATAGTTTTAGAGTTAATTATTATTAATTAATTTTTTTCTTTAAAATTTGACAAATGCGCGTCAATCAAAAATGGCCCATAACTTTTTTTTATTGGGTTTGCGAATATGGGGTTGGGATTTTTGAAATCTTAAAACATATTTTAAAAGATTCCATGTCAATTCTTTAAAATTTTTAGGCAAATTAGGCTAACTTGAAAGGTTAATAACTTTTTTTATTTTAAATATAACAACCAGTATGTTTTTGCCAAATTAAATAGTAAATTAAAAAACCTTTCGATTGATTTTACTATTCCCTCTACCTAAAGTTAATAATTTCAGAGATATTTAATAATTTCTAAAATTTAAAATATTATTTTGTATCAAGATACCTGTGACGGGTGAGTTGACGGTATCTATGGTTAACACGTAATCTGTCATTGTTTAAAATTTTGTGATAAACAATTTTTTGACTAATTAAGTGTTCTGTAAACAATATTACTGATAAAAATAGCAGTAAGTGACCTTCTATTAATCATATAAGGCCATGGAAATAAAGTTAGAGTGCTTTTGCTCTACAAAAAAGTTTTCTTATGTTTTTTTCGCAAACCTACTTATTTAAAAGATATCCTAGGTCAATTTTTTTTTTAATTTTTTAACTCCCAGAATAGTTTGGATTTTGAAATAAGTAGTACATATTTTTGTTGAAAATAAACCGATCTACAAAAAGGTTTCCTTAGTTATTTTGATAAATGTAAGCTTACTGTAAAAAATATTAATTCAAGTGTCGATTTTTGAAATATACTTATAAATTTGTATTCTTATTAATCAAAATAAACTTTTAACTGTTTCACATTTTATTCTGAAATTTAATTTCAAAATATTCATTTTTTTATTAGTATCTATTCCGGTATCCGAGTCTCTTGGATGAGAGACATTTATTTGTCATATAAATAATTACATAACAATAATTATAGCAATGAATTATTTAGGAGAAAACCCTTGTCGTATTAAAAGATTGGTATCCTAACCACTAGACGAGATATCCTTTATACTTTATCCTTTATATTTATACTTTATAGTATTAAACAAAGATTCTTATTATTCCGCGCGCTCGATTATGTTGAAACGCTTACATTTATCAAAAAAAAATAAAAAAACTTTTTGTAGATCACTTAATTTTTAATAAAAATATGTAATACTCATATCATAATCCTAACTATTCTGCAATTGCAATTGCAACTTAGTTAAACAATTTTACAAAAAAAATACTTTTTTTCAAACCATTTTTTAAGATATCTTTTAAATGGATAGGTTTACAAAAAAAATATATAAATTACTTTTTTTCTAGAGCATTTAAATTCCTATATTAGGCTTAGCTTTATATCCATTTATTAGGGAGGTACCAAATGTTTTTCATCGAACTAATGTTTGTACATGCATGCGTATAAATCATATTTTAGGGCCTTAAAAGTACCTTAACCAGCACTTGCCAATGTACTTGTAAAACTTGTCCAGATAATACAATATTGTGTCCTACTAGTAATATTTGTGTTAATGAAACATTGTGGTGTAATGGTGTGCAAGACTGTCCAGATGATGAAATTAATTGCCCCACGACTGCGGCCACAGAGATTCCAACAACCACTAAAAGTATGTACTTAAATAAAATTTATTAATTAATAATCACATCTGCATATCAAACCATAAATATAATTTAAAGTTTTGTATTGAATTATTATTTGTGTAATACATTTTAGCAATTTCATATGTAAAATTGCTAAAAATACTTTAGTAAACTATTTTAAATCTATTTAACGATTGCATATAATATATTATATATTATATAGTATATATTATATATTATATATTATATATTATATATTATATATTATATATTATATATTATATATTATATATTATATACTATATATTATATATTATATATTATATATTATATATTATATATTATATATTATATATTATATATTATATAAATATTAATCATTAAAAGTAGAAAATGTATAGTTTTTAATGATGTTTCGACAAAACTAAACAACAAACTTAAAATTACAAATTTACAAATTAGAAAGCAGATTTTGCATCTAAAATATAAGAAAAAGCAAAGAACAATATACAGAACGATGAATTTTCATTTATAGCGTTTGTACTTAAATAAAATTTATTAATTAATAATCACATCTGCATATCAAACCATAAATATAATTTAAAGTTTTGTATTGAATTATTATTTGTGTAATACATTTTAGCAATTTCATATGTAAAATTGCTAAAAATACTTTAGTAAACTATTTTAAATCTATTTAACGATTGCATATAATATATTATATATTATATATTATATATTATATATTATATATTATATATTATATATTATATATTATATATTATATATTATATATTATATATTATATATTATATATTATATATTATATATTATATATTATATATTATATATTATATATTATATATTATATATTATATACCTTTGTATTTTTAAAATTAAGTCTCCTTTTTCTCCATTTTAAAATTTTAATTTAAAATTGATGAAAATGTATAAATAAATAACACTGTGCGACAGTAAAAATCTCAGATAATATCTGTTTACTGATTATGAAATAGTGCCACCCCAAAAACATATTCCTTTAAGGATTTCGTTCCATTAGTTCGCGTTTTGAAGTAATTGTTATTTAAACAAAAAAAAATAATGACCGACAAAAGTATAGAACAAATTCATTTAAAAATTCCCTTTTTATTAAAAAAAAAAATCCTTGAACACGTCTATTTTGTTTTTCAATTCCGCACATTTTCATATAAAATTTTAATATTTTCCGACATTTTTGTAAAAGCAATGACGTCGACCATTTTTTTTTAAATTGGACACCCACTTTTTTTGGAGATTCGAATAGATTATAAAATTCTGATTTTAGTAATATGCGTATGTAAACCTTTTGGGCTGATAGTTTTGAAAATATTAATCATTAAAAGTAGAAAATGTATAGTTTTTAATGATGTTTCGACAAAACTAAACAACAAACTTAAAATTACAAATTAGAAAGCAGATTTTGCATCTAAAATATAAGAAAAAGCAAAGAACAATATACAGAACGATGAATTTTCATTTATAGCGTTTCTTAAGAAAGAATTCTTAGCTTCTCTATTTTCATTTAAATGCTCCTCGCTTTCCTCGGAATCGTCATTGCTCCAAGAAGAATTTGAAATTAAGTCCTCTTTATCATCTTCAAAATTTTAAATCAAAATGTGCTGAATTGAAAAACAAAATCGACGTGTACAAGGATTTTTTTTTTAATAAAAAAGAAATTTTTTAAATGAATTTGTCCCATACTTTTGCCGGTCACTGAATTTTTTTGTTTAAATAATAATTACTTGAAAACGCGAACTAATCGAACAAAATCCTTCAGGGAATATCTTTTTGGGGAGGCATTCTTCCATAATTAGTGAACAGATTTCGTCTGAGAAATGTTGACCCTTATTTTGTCGCACAGTGTAATTAAAATAATTTTTATAATCGATTACATTAATAGTCATTAAAAAGGCTATTTTTACCAAATACAGAAAAGTGATAATATGGAAGTTTCCTAATATGGAATACCAGCATTTTTCTAAAACAAACAGTTGAAGACACAAAACAAGTTTTTTTTTCTATCTAATTTACTCACTTTAGTAGGTATCACTTCAGTATCGACGATAGAAAAGTTTTTTAATTACTTGAATAATGTAAATATATCGCATAGGGGTGTATCTCATATTTAACAATTTCACAGAGAATTTTAAAGATTTTAGCTTATTTAAATAATTTAAAAAAAATTGCTACTAGGTATTATACCATATAAACTACCAGGTAGCACATTTTTTTTAAATAATTAAATTTAGCTTAAAAGTTTTAATCTCTCTAATGTTGGATTATAAAAAACAAAAATATCTTTTGTTTATTTCAGAACCTAAAATATGCCCAGTAACCAAATGTCTACCTGGTTTTGAAACAGTTGAAATTATTAACAATAAAAACAAATTCATTTCTCCAATGTTATCAAGAGATGAAACATATGTTAAAAAGTCTGTATATCAAGGATTATATAATGGAGTAAAAACAGGTGGAATTAAAGGAAGTAAGAAGTATATTTTAAATTATGTGCTTACAAAATTGTATTCGTATCTTTCCAGAATACAAAAATCATTTCAAACGCCCTAATAAAGAAACCGTACAAATAGAAGAAGTTGTTTGCAAAGAATATAAATGTGTTTCTACAAAATTACCACCAAAGTTCATACATACCAAAGAGGAATGTCCCCCTATTACATGTCAGCCATCGTACATTGCAGTTTTTGATATAAAACAAACTTTAAATAATGATTGCCCTAAGTAAGTTTTTTTAATTTTTGTTAAAACGTCCGGACGTAAAAAGTTATTTTTATTTCTAAGGTATTCATGTCATCCTCCTCCACCTCCTGATGCAATTTGTAATATTACTGGACGAACTTTTAATACATTTGACAACACAGAATATAAATTCGATATATGTAATCATGTTATTGCAAGAGATTTAGATAATGACGATTGGGAAGTAGCATGTAACATTTATTTTAATACTTTTCTTATAAAATAATAAAAATTTATTTTTAGTAAAAAAAAATTGTTCAAAATACTGTTCACGAACTCTAGTTATAAGACATAATGATAACGTTTTAAGTATTCACTCCGACCTTAGCCTAGAATTAGATGGATTTTCCTATTCGGTTGCACATATTCAAAAAATTGTAGAAAAATTATCTGAATTTTCAATTCAACGGGTTGGAAATGTAATATCTTTTGAATCCAATAAATATGGTTTTTGGGTTATATGGAATAAGCATGGCAACGTAAAATTGGGTGTCGTTAATAAACTTATGGAAAAAGTTGATGGATTATGTGGGTATTTTAATTCTTTACCTAAGGATGACAAACGAAAACCTGATGGCTCCGTTGCTAGAACAACAGAAGATTTTGGAGAAAGTTGGGCTGTTTCTAATGATCAACCTAAAATTTGTGAGGCTAAAACCTGTAAAATACACATTCAAAATAAAGCTTGGGAAATGTGTAATAGTGTAAAGTATGTATTTAATACATAAAAGTATGTATTTTTTATATGCTATTATTTCAGAGCACGCAGTTTGTCTCCTTGTGCCAAAGTAGTGGATATTGATAATTTTATTTCCCGATGTTTAGAAACAACCTGTAATTGTTTAGACGAACATGAAGGAAATTATACCGCTGAAGAAGAATGCAGATGTCAAACGATACAAAATTTTGTTATTGATTGCCTTGGATCCGATTCATTAATCGATATCAATGACTGGAGAATGCAACATAATTGCCGTAAGTTTTAAATTTATGGGGGGAAGCCTAAAAAAATGTTTAAGTACTGAACCTTATATAAGCCTATATAGGGTTATAAGTTGGATAGGTATATAGCGTTATAATTTACATTACTTTTTAAAAAGTGCCGTGAAAAATGCGCGATTTTTATATCTAGGGTTTTTACAGGAAGATGATTTATTTTCTTGCATTCTAACTTAATGTCCTAAATACATTACATTACAAAGATTTTTTTTAAACCTGGTCTCCGTGATTTTTTACATTTAGGACATTCCTATTGTTAGTTAAGAGGGCTTTTAACAATAAACCTTTAAGTAGTACCTACCTATTATAATTAAAAAAAAATTTAGTAATTAGTAATTTAATTTTGTAGTAAGTCCTAAAACAATAAAGAGTAAAAACCTTTAGCCTTTACAGCTCGTACTCGAAGAGTAAGAACTTTACAGACTCCCAATTAAATATATTATATGTTATTATTGTTATCTTTGGGTTGAGCTTAAGTATAACATATATTTTATTAGACAACAAGCCTGCCTTATATAAAAAACAATGTCATGGATAAGGCCAATAAATTCTACTCTAATAAACTACGCCATCGTCTGCTGACACGCAGATTGCCGATATTTCTCGACCCTTAGTGCATTGCACTGTGCATCACTGACACCGCGTCGACACTTTGATGATGTACGACGCGTCGCGACGTGCGGGCGGGCTGGTGGTCTGGTTTGAGGTGGCTGCCCAGGGAACCATTCACCATATTTTTATACACCTGTTCTAACCGTTCTTATCAAGCCAGGATGCTCAATTTTGTTCATAAATTTTACCATGCAGATTAGAGGCGGGACTATATTCCACGCTCCTTTTTACATCCAACCAAATCACTACATTCTCTATATACAATTACAAAATTATTTACTTTAAATATGTTAAAATAAGTTTGATTTGATTTAATTTGATTGATTTAATTTAGTAGGACATTAAAAATATTTTATTTTATTATTATTTCAGCAATTACATGCGATTATCCTTTGGTTTATCATGACTGTTATCAACGTAAATGTGAACCTACATGTAAATCTATTTCGGATCCTAACGTATGTCCAAAAATATCAAATATGTGTTTCCCTGGATGCTATTGTCCTGCGGGATATGTTAGAAAAGAAAATACCTGTATAAAACCATCAAATTGCAGGGACTGTGAATGCAATGTTTTACCTCATCTTCAATATATCACTTACGATGAAAGTAATTTTACAGTAACCGGTAACTGCGTTTATGTAATGTCCCGGGATATTTTTAATGACAACGACAAACATAATTTTCAGGTAAGTTTATTTTCATTGACGAAGATCCTGCTAATTTTTTATTAATTTTGTAAAAATAATTGTCCCAAATAAAATATCCACCACTAGATCACCATTTATTAAAAATAAACAAGCCATAACAACTACAAAAACCAGTCCACTATTTTAAATACATTTACTTCTTATTATATATATATGTATATACATACATATCCATTAGGGTGTCCCTTATTTTTATTTTTTTTACGCATACCCTCTAATTATATTTATTACTTGTTTATATACTCCCAGTAAAAATTTCAGCTCATTCTATAAACGGGAACCCGTGCAGACTTGCATCTAAACCCTCCGTTAGCCAACGTTAGGCGCGCGCGGTATTTTGTAACACGTAACACTTTAAAAAGAAGATATACTTCATGACTGTATTTTTCTAATGGTTTTATTAAATATGATTACTAATTAATATTATTGCTTTTGTTTCTATCATTTGTTTCACTAATTTAGTTGATTTTATCCCTTAAATATATTAATATACTAATTAGTATTGCTAAAATATACTGTTATATGAAATTTCAGCTTTTTATAAGCATTTCTTTTCTTGATGTCCTCCCAAAAATATTTTAGACAGTTCAATAAGTTTTCGGTGGTCATCTCTCACAATAGACTCTTTTAGTTATTTAGAGTAAAACCCATTAAGTTTATCAATTTCAGAGTTTACGGCCTATTCACCAGACCCTTCCGGGTAACTAGCCACCCAGTGTGAAAATATACATTTTTATCAAAGTATACACATAAATAAAACTATATTTTAACATTTGTCAATAATTTATAATATAAGGGTCACATAATAACAAACACAAAATGACTTACGATCGAAGACCTCGCGACCAACCGCGCGCCTAACGGAGGGTTCAGATGCAAGTCGGCACAGGTTCCCCTTTATAGAATGAGCTGAAATTTTTACTGGGAGTATATAAACACGTAATAAATATAATTAGAGGGTATGCGTAAAAAAAATAAAAATAAGGGACACCCTAATATCCATATACATTAGGGTGATGCAAAAAAATTTTTTTTTTTGAATTCTATGCGAGACCACTCGGGTTTTCAAAGAGTATCAAGAAAATAAAAATCTGTAAAAATTTGAGAGAAATCAATTAAAATTTAGAGGTCGCTCAACGCAATTGTTTAATTTAGAAAAATCACGCATCTCAAATGCATTGCTATAAACAAGTAGGCATATTTCATACAAATTTGAATGAAAATGGTTCAATTTTTTTTTGGTGCACTCTTAATGATTATTCTAATAAATAATGTTGTCCCGATTTCAAAAAATTGTTCATAATATTTAAAAAATATATATTAATTAGCAAATATAGCTTAGTTAACAAATAATTCATTACCTACATTTTTTTTTTGTTTCAAAATCTGTAAAAACATTGTTAATAGGTCTACAAGCAATTATTCATTCACAAAAACACTTGCCCCCATCGTTAAATATGAGAAAAAAAATAATATTTTAATTAACTACACTTCGCGTCAAATTTAATGCACCACTAAAAGTTTGTCACATTTTCAAAGTTGATTTTCTCGCGAACCGTCAAACCGAATTTGGTAATTTTTGTTTTAAAATTGAGGTTTATTCTTTGGTTATGATGCCTTTATTAAAAAATTCTTTTAAATTTAAGTTTTGAGTATATACATATATAACCGTCAAACCGAATTTAGTGATTTTTATAATAAATTGTAGGTTTATTCTTCGCGATTCTTCGGTTTATTAAAATATATTTTAAATTAACATTTTGAGTATATACACGGAGAGAAAAATTTTGCCAAAATAATTATCCAAAGTATTGTTAAATGACGTATCGTGAATTTAGTCAACTGTTCTATTAAACTGAGGATCTGTATAGCTGATTTAGCCTCAGTTTAATAAAACAGTTGACTAAATGGACGATACGTAATTTAACAATACTTTGGATAGTTGTTTTAGCAAAATTTTTCTCTCCGTGTATAGGGTGCAAGTGTAATAATTAGTTTTTTCCGGAAATTTGAAACGCCCTGTTGGTTGTACCAGCTATAACAGCATATGTCTCATAATCAAACTATAGCCCCATGTTCTCTTAACATTTTGTATTTTTATTCACCGGGTTATCTTTATTTTTAAATGAAATGTACATTTAAAGATTAAACATTAAGGTACCATGAATAGTGTACGATATATCGAGGACATTTTATTTGGGCATGTTGTCCCTTTCGCCCGGTAATAATTTTTTACTGATGCAGGATAATGTTATATAGTGCAAGAGTACTTACATGAGGTGGATGTTAAAACTTTAGACTGGCCTGCAAATAATCCGGATCTCAACCTCATTGAGCATTTTTGGGATAATATGGGTAGACGACCAAGAAATCATGATCCCTTGCCTGCCTCCCTTGATGACGTAGCAAATACGCTACGAGAAATATGAAATGTCATTGATCAAGACGAGATTAGACATCTGGTTTCGAGTGTGAGCCGTCGATGTGAAGCCGTAATTAGAAGTAGAGGCAGAAATACGCGATAATGATATTCTTTAATGTTGGTTTTATTGATTTTGTTAATATTTTTGTTGTTATTGTTACAATCGTTCTTTTTACATTTTTGTATTAAACTGGATTAAACTGGTTCTTTAATCTTTAACTGTATATTTCATTTAAAAATAAAGATAACGCGGTGATTCAAAAAACAAAATGTTAAGAGAAGATGTGGCTATAGTTTGATTATAAGATACATATGCTGTTATAGCTGGTACAATCCACAGGGCGTTTTAAATTTCCGGGAAAAAACTTATTATCACTCTTGCACCCTGTATATACTCAAAATGTTAATTTAAAAAAATATTTTAATAAACGCATTATTACCGAAGAATAACCCTACAATTTATTATAAAAATCACTAAATTCGGTTTGACGGTTCGCGAGAAAATCAACTTTGAAAATGTGACAAACTTTTAGTGGTGCGTTAAATTTGACGCGAAGTGTAGTTAATTAAAATATTATTTTTTTTCTCATATTTAACGATGGGGGCGAGTGTTTTTGTGAATTAATAATTGCTTGTAGACCTATTAACAATGTTTTTACAGATTTTGAAACAAAAAAAAAATGAATGAATTATTTGTTAACTAAGCTATATTTGCTAATTAATATATATTTTTTTAAATATTATGAACAATTTTTTGAAATCGGGACAACATTATTTATTAGAATAATCATTAAGAGTCCAAAAAAAAATTCAACCATTTTAATTCAAATTTGTATGAAATATGCCTACTTGTTTATAGCAATGCATTTGAGATGCGTGATTTTTCTAAATTAAACAATTGCGTTGAGCGACCTCTAAATTTTAATTGATTTCTCTCAAATTTTTACAGATTTTTATTTTCTTAATACTCTTTGAAAACCCGAGTGGTCTCGCATAGAATTCAAAAAAAAATTTTTTTTGCATCACCCTAATATACATATATATGTATACATTAGGGTGTCCCAAAAAAAAAGAATATTTTTTTCTTCTCGTCTCTTGTGAAAATATGTTGGTTTGTCATGTTTTAAGAGCCCTGTCAAAAGATCAGCACCATTAAAAAATTTTTAGGGGTCGCTCAAGATTTTTAAAAATTACCAAAATCGTCAAAAATTGGAATTTTTTTAATTTTAATTTTTTTTCTCATTCCGATATTATTTTTTAATTTCAAAATAATAATGATTTTGAAAATTTCAAATCGATATTTTAATTTCTAAAGGTCGCTCAAGATTTTTTTAACTTTCAAAGTAGAGTATTTTGAATGTTTTCGAGCGACCTCTGAATATAAATATCAACGAACTTTTAGCGACCTTTAAAAATCAAAATATTGATTTGAAATTTACAGAATTTTTATTATTTTCAACCTAAAAAATAATATCGAGACGAGAAAAAGAATTAAAATAAAACAAAAATTCAATTTTTGACGATTTTGAAATTTTTTAAAAATCTTGAGCGACCCCTACAAAATTTTTAATCGAGCTGATATTTTGAAAGGGCTCTTACAGCATGATAAACTAACATATTTTTACAAGAGACAAGAAAAAAAAATATATTCTTTTTTTTTGGGACACCCTAGTATACATATATGTATATAATGAAAAGTAAATGTATTTAAAATAATAAACAATTTTTTTAATCTATTTCATAAAAACTAAACATATTTTTAAAGGTTCTGGTAACTAATCACCCATGCACAAAAAATAATAAAAAAATGTGTATAGGAAAAATAACAATATTATACAAAGGACACAAGATTCATATATTCATGGATAACTATAGACATAAACTAAAACTAATAGTTGATGCAGAAAGAATTAATGATTTTGAGGAGATTTCAGAATGGCTATCTGTTAGAGAAACGTCTTCAAAACATTTTAAAATTTTAATGACTGAAATGCAAGTTGAGGTAAGGGATTTGAGCTCTAAATTTGTAATCAAAATTGTTTACTTTTTTTAAATATAATTTTGTAGGTATCTGTATATTTTCCATCTCTAGGAGTATCAGTAAAAGCGCCTTCACATAAATATGGAGGAAAACTTGAAGGTTTGTGTGGAAACTGCAATGGAGATCCTTCCGATGACAATATAATACCCAATAATAAAAAAGCAATAAATGAAAATGAATTGGCACTTGGTTGGTTATATGACAAATTACCTGGAGGTCAATTGCCAGAACAATGTGGAAATATAGAAAAACTTGAATGTCAACCTTTACCTAATGATAAAAACCCATGCTTACAATTAATAGATGTAAATAAATTTGGCCAGGTACAAAATATAAATATAAACATATTTTTTTATAAAAACAAATAGGTACTTGCAATAATGCCAATTTTACACTCACTGTTTAACGAAATTTAAGTAACGTATATCCAAAGTGCCAATGAAAACCCGAACGAAACTTTGGTGAAACTGCGCCGCTGATTTTTCAAAATGTCTTCAGAAATGGATAACGTATGTGACCCTGATGTAAAGCATTTAGCATTTACACTTTACACAACTTAATAAAAGAATTAATTATTTATTTTAAATACATTCTGACGCAATGGGTATTAACGGTTTTTATTTATATTATGGACATACTAATGAAACAATCTCGGTTAAAATAGTACATTTTTATTATACATACAACAAAAATATTTTTTGAAAACGTTTTTAGAATGGCCACTTTAAGTAGGGTCTACTATTCTAAATGCACACGGAACACCTTTTTTGGAATACAAAAGTTGTTTGGTAGCCCAATAAAGAAAGTTTTTGCTGTTAGTGTGCCTCTTCATCAGGGACGTATTTAGGAATTTTTCTCCCTGGGCGAATATGATCGGCCGCCCCATAAACATAAAATTTTAATTTGAACATGATAAAATATATACATAAAATACTATAAGTCACCAAAATCCATAAAAACTAATACTTAAAACGAAATAAATGAGTGTTGTGGACATAATTAAAAGCAAAAACTTGTGTGCATAACAGTTGTGCGCAGTTACTGCCCGCCCTCTCGCAATAAGATGCGCAGCCAGTTTTTCAAACAAAAATTATTGTATTTAGAATAGCGGGGTAATAATTTAAGCCATTTTTTATTCCTCCAACCTCACTTATATTCGAAAACCGTCAGTACCCATTGCGTCACTATGTACTATTTTTGTTTACATCAAATATAAGGTTCTTGTTGGGATGCCATTTTCATATTGTATATATATTAGGGTGTCCCTTATTTTTTATTTTTTTACGCATACCCTCTAATTATATTTATTACGTGTTTATATACTCCCAGTAAAAATTTCAGCTCATTCTATAAACGGGAACCCGTGCCGACTTGCATCTGAACCCTCCGTTAGCCAACGTTATGCGCGCGGTATTTTGTAACACGGTTGGCCGCTAGGTCTTCGATCGTAAGTCATTTTGTGTTTGTTATTATGTGACCCTTATATTATAAATTATTAAAAAATGTTAAAATATAGTTTTATTTATGTGTATACTTTAATAAAAATTAATATTTTTACAGGAAGTAGCTAGTTACCCGGAAGTGTCGGGTGAATAGGCCGTAAAACTAATTACCCGAAACTCTTTTTTTATTATATCTGAATGACAGCTAAAAAATAACCAAAAAAAAATTAGTTGATTTTATCCCTTAAATATATTAATATACTAATTAGTATTGCTAAAATATACTGTTATATGAAATTTCAGCTTTTTTTAAGCATTTCTTTTCTTGATGTCCTCCCAAAAATATTTCAGACAGTTTTCGGTAGTCATCTCTCACAATTGACTCTTTTAGTTATTTAGAGTAAATCCCATTAAGTTTATCAATTTCAGAGTTTACGGCATATTCACTAGACCCTTCCGGGTAACTAGCCACTCCCTGTGAAAATATACATTTTTATCAAAGTATACACATAAATAAAACTACATTTTAACATTTGTCAATAATTTATAATATAAGGGTCACATAATAACAAATACAAAATGACTTACGATCGAAGACCTCGCGGCCAACCGTGTTACAAAATACCGCGCGCCTAACGTTGGCTCACGGAGGGTTCAGATGCAAGTCGGCACGGGTTCCCGTTTATAGAATGAGCTGAAATTTTTACTGGTAGTATATAAACACGTAATAAATATAATTAGTGGGTATGCGTAAAAAAATAAAAAATAAGGGACACCCTAATATATATATATATATATATATATATATATATATATATATATATGTTAGCGAAAGGGTACTTAAGAGCATACCAAGGGCAAGAGAAGATAAACAAATGAGAGCCTACGTAGACACATTAGTTTTAACGGCAGTGTGCCTGACACTTTGAAAACGATCGGTTGATATTCTGAGAGTAAAGTTTTGAATATAGACTTATAGTACTAAATAAATTAGTTTAAATACCACCATTATTTAAATAACATTATTGTTATTTATTTATAACATCAGAAGTGGGATAGTGATCTGTGCAGTGACCTACAGAAATGGATGAAACTAGTGTAAACACAATTGTGTCGGAGGTGGTGAATTCTGACGATGGTGTTGCTTCGCCAAGTTCCAGACCCATCAAGGAACAATGGCAAAAGAGGTTATAAAACATGGTAGTTTCGCAACAGCTACAGATTGCGGAGTTATTAAAATACGCCAAACTACAGACATCGGCGTCCTCCGTGTCAACGCCCTGCTTTGTCTCTACAGAAGGAGCCAGTGCGCAAGCGCCAGCAGAATCAACGCCCTGTTTAGTCACAGAAGACGGATCAAATGCGCAAGCGTCAGGAATGCTCACGCCAAATTTGATCTCACCTGGTGAACAAAGGACGCAGGTGTCAACATCGGGACAGGGCAACATAAAATTCAAGCTCACCAGCTATGACCCCGATAACAGTGCATACGCAATCAACTAATGGTTGGAGGACGCAACAAAACTGAAGGAGGAACAGGATGTCAGCGATAATTTAATGATTGCGAAGGCGAGCGATGCGCTGAAGAATCGCGGTTATCGGTACTGCTGTAACTGGAGACCGTTACGGCGATCCTGGGAAAACTTTTGTGCCGACCTTATCACTGCTTTTCCCGACAAAGAGACACCAGGTGCCCGAGCGTTTAAAGCTTCGACACTACGAAGCAAAGAGTGCGACTCTTTGTGTGATTATGGACACCAAAAGCTTCGCAGCATACAGCGATTCTACGATAAATTACCGTGGAATAAGGTTCTAAGTATGGTTGAGTACGGATTGGACCATGCTGAAGCACGTGCATCGCTGCACATACAGAAGCCGGACTCTGAACGTGAGCTTATGTTAAGATTAAGTGATGGAGCGCACAAGAGAGAGACAGACGTTGACAGACGCGGGTCAGATAGCGGTAGGCCCAACAAAATGTTAAAACGTTCATGTTTTAAATGTGGCCGTCACGGAAATCTGCAACACGAATGCCGAAGCAGAACATCTAAAGAAGTAGAACAGGATAGGCCGAATAGTTCCAAGAACCCGACGTATCAATTATAAAATATTCGGCAGTAAAAACAATAAACGGTACGATCAAACCAATCGAGCTGCTTCGGGATTAGGGACACGACTTGTGTACGCTATAGGTGTGTGTGACTTTATTATGGTTATGTCAGCTGTAACTTTAGACATTAATTATTATATTGTACCAGATGGTTCCATCCCTAAAGGCATTGACATAATTATCGGGTGGGACGTTAAAGGTAGACCTTGTTTACAAATCGAGAAAAGTGGAAGCGGTATCGAATTACAACATGCACCTGTCAACATGCCATCAATTTTAACAGTTAAAAATGCGCACAGTGTTAAGATAAATCAAACAGAGTTGGACGAGAAACTAAAAGTGCAAATTGAAGATATGTTATTCTACGATAAAATTGAAACACCAGACCATATAACTACCGGTGAAATAGTTGTTAACCTAAAAGTCAGTACTCCAGTAGCATATCGCCCTCGTAGGTTGGCATACCAAGAAAGAAAATTAAAAGCGAAATATAAAGGGCCATACACAATACGATGCTTACTACCCAACGAGAGATATGTGTTGCACAAACAAGGACGACGAACTACTGTGGCCGCCCACGATCAGTTAAGACGATGGACATCCACTGAATAAAAGTACGTATTCCAATTGTAATAAAATTAGTGGCAATACCACAAATTAGTTGAAAATTAGTGGCAATCCCACAATTAAGTTGAAAATTAGTGGCAATCCCACAATTTAGTTGAAAATTAGTGACAATCCCACAATTAAGTTGAAAATTAGTGGCAATCCCACAATTTAGTTGAAAATTAGTGGCAATCCCACAATTTAGTTAAAAATTAGTGGCAATCCCACAATTTAGTTGAAAATTAGTGGCAATCCCACAATTTAGTTGAAAATTAGTGGCAATCCCACAATTAAGTTGAAAATTAGTGGCAATCCCACAATTTAGTTAAAAATTAGTGGCAATCCCACAATTTGGTTGAAAATTAGTGGCAATCCCACAATTTAGTTGAAAATTAGTGGCGATCCCACAATTTAGTTGAAAATTAGTGGCGATCCCACAATTTAGTTGAAAATTAGTGGCAATCCCACAATTTAGTTAAAAATTAGTGGAAATCCCACAATTTAGAACAAAAGTGTAGCTGTGGCAATCCCACAATTAAATTAAGGGCTGGTGGCAACCCCACAGCGTATAAAAAAAAACGTAGTTTATGTTCTTGTATATCTCGTAAGATGTTGATTCTTCCTTTTTGTATTTTTTAGAATTGTAACTTCTACCCCGCTCGTAGAGTTCAGTTTTCTGTGGTTTCCTGAACTCCTAGGCAAATGCTACGAGTGTGTACAAGTCGGCCACAGACGCAAAAGGAGGTTCACCTCTTAAGACTGCAACCGTACAAATTGCATTACAACAGTTTGCCGTTTTGTGATGATGGTCAGTAATGCGGTGCGAGGACGCTCCGATAACAGGATGGCCGTGTTAGCGAAAGGGTACTTAAGAGCATACCAAGGGCAAGAGAAGATAAACAATGAGTAGACACATTAGTTTTAACGGCAGTGTGCCTGACACTTTGAAAACGATCGGTTGATATTGTGAGAGTAAAGTTTTGAATAAAGACTTATAGTACTAAATAAATTAGTTTAAATTATTTAAATAACATTATTGTTGTTTATTTATAACATATATATATATATATATATATGTATATATATATATATATATATATATATATATATATATATATTAGACTGGTTAAAAAAAATCGAATATTTTTTTTTCTTCAAAGCCCGC